ACAGCAAATGAAAGCACAAATGGGCCTTTAATCCCAAATTATTACAGCTGATTTTAGTAATGCAGGCTTTTTTAATTTTCAAAAACCCAAACCCATTTTCATCTGCTATCACTGGAAGACTGGGATGAAATCTGCTGTCAGTCCCAAGCCTATGAACCATGTAAATTCTCCTTATGTCCTATGTATGAATGTCAAGAATCTGAAGGGAGGTGGTCATGTTTGTTTTCTGTACAAGCTGTGATTCCATCCTTGCAGACGATGTTACAAGTCAGGTTTGGGATTAAAAAAACAAAAAATAGCTGTAGCTACCTGAATCGTTTCCTAATAATTAGTGCTGATCTGTACAAATGATGTATAGCCTCATTATATTCTGTGTTCAGACACGATGATATAAACCTGGATTATCTCCAAGGTGATGGATGACTTAACTAAGATCTGCAGAACTTAAAAAGAGGATATAGTTTGGTTGCAATTGGAACATTTTGCTTCCACAGTTGACTGAAGTGTGGGAATATTTGCCAAATGTACACAATAGAGCTCTGTGTTACTGCTTAAAATATATATCCTCTAATTACACAAAATGTACGTGACTAGATCCCCAGCTGAGGGAAGCCTGCATCACTTGGCTGCTGTAAATGAAACGATACCAATATCAGCCAGCTGAGGCTCTACGTCATATAGTGCACTTTGCTATATAATCAATGCCTTTTCAAATAATCAGCTTTTTAAAGTACAATATAGTCTTCATTTAGCAATATCGCTTTGTACCCTTCCGACACAGAAGAGTGTCTTTAAAACAGGTGTAAATGTAGCATCAGTGGGAACCAAATCTGATATCTTTCAGATCTCAAGAAGATCTCAGGATGTGATGGTGAATTTAATACGCTCTAAATTAGATATGGATAACTGTCTAAGAAAGGAAGATCATTCGGTTTGCCAGCATTTAAAAGTCCAGAGCTGTGCCTTGTGCAGTCTTAAAAACAGTGTAGAATATTCAAGTAGCAATGTGTTCTTGTGCGTTATAATTCAATGTATTTCTTTATTGACAGATAACTTAATTAAAAAGGAAGTTTCTGTACTTGAAAACAGAGAGAGAATGTATAAAATGAATTATATGACAGTGCTTTCTTTCAGAGCCTTGCCCTTTCGTATTTTATGAGACGTCCCTTTTCCGGTGGCTCTTCATGGAGTGTGTTGCTAATATGACAAGAGGCTCCTGAAATTATTCCCCTGTCACTTCACAGTAATTTTGTTACACCAAAGGTTGTGTATTTCCACTGAGATGCATTGTAGAAACCCAGCTCTGTTCTTCTGTTAAGAATGTCACATCACGGTTTTCCCATCGGGGAAAAAAAAATCACAGTGTATTTTGATTATTATTATTGCTCCCATTTAGAAGAAATAAATCAAATCATCACTTTCTTCAAAACCAGCGGGAGAAGACAACAACATTGTTTGGGGAATTTTCCAGTTAGTTTGTTGGAAACACTTAATCAAGCTGAATTAGAAGCTTACACACAGGAGCTGTTGGTGCACGGAGATTCACAGGTCCTCAATAGGACAGCAGCACACTTAGACCCACACCAACCTTTCTCCTGCTGGTGCTACTGCCTCAAATCACAGCATCCATCTCCCGAGGATGTTTGCCTGGGGATTTTTACCCTCCTGTCTGATAATCAAGTGGGAGCTGGGCCAGCAGATGCAAGCTAAAGCATCCCTTCAGCTCATCCGGGTGAAGCTCAGGAGCCATCTTTCTGCTGCACTGCACCTTAGGATCAGGCTTCTTTCCCATGTTTCCTCCTCTCCCTGTGAGAGGCATGCTATGCTGCCTTTCCTAAGGCTCCACGAAGGGTGCAGATTCATACATACAGCACAGAAACGCATTTGTCAGCAGGAAAACGCATTTGGAGAATTTCAGAAGCAAAATCATTGCTGTTCGAAAAGAATCTTTTATGAGAACAAAGATAAAAGAAACCTTCCTGAGGTGCTGACCTGACATCTGCAGGGTGTAGATGACATCTGCAGAGAGCAGTATTTTTGTCACAGGTTGCATGACTTGACACTAGAGTCCTCAAAAGCTGCTGGAGATGTTTTCCTCCAGTCATCTGGCTCCAGCACTAATCCTCTCTTGCACTTTCAGATCTCCAGCATGGCTGCTCATCCTATGTGCTACATTTCTAGATAGGGCAAATTGTTTCTGAATCATTTTTCAATCGTTCTGTTTCGATTCTTCTTCTTCCTATGTGCTGTTTTGTCAAACTCTCCCCACTTCAGCACGTACTGATTCCTATCCTAAAAGCCTGAAGGCTTCATTTATTCTTTCAGACTGGTGGAAACCAAAGGAATCTGACAGAAACACACACAGTGAGGGATCTATAAGGTAACTTAGCATTTCTGTGCACCACGGCTTCCACATATATGCTTAAACCCATCCCCATTTATTCAGTTTTGATTCTGAGTTCATGTGAATGAACTGAGATGAAACAGAGAAATTGGATAATTTGCTTAATCATTTGCCTAAGCACTCTTACAGAATGATGGTGAACTGCTGGCGGGGATTTCACATCCTTTTCTAAAAGACAAAACAAAACAAAACAGACTTTGGATTTCAGATTATCACAGAAATAAACCTGCATATAGATTTTCCTGGCAGTTTTCCTCTGGATTTTTCTTTGTAGCAGTCCAATGCTTGACAATACTTGAAGTTAATGCCTTACTTTAACTGTATTCCTCAGTTCTTGGTTAAAAGAACTTACCAAAGCAGTAGATACAGAATGAAGGCATTAAGGAAACTTTATTTTTTTTAAACATACATTAGAGTAGGAAATGTGAATTTAAATACCACCTTCATCTGCAAGAGGCTAAAATAAATCAGTTGAGTATAAACAGTGGAGAAATTATAACTTAGACATCATTTTAAAGTTGATGTGAAAGAAAATTCTTTTCTTTTATCCATGTTTTGCAGAATTTCAAGTGTTTGAGGATTACGTGTAAGAGAGGGAATGACTGGTGTTAGTCCCTTATACCTTAATTTGCCTGTGGCCCAAAGTAATTTTCATACCATGTTTCTGCCCATGCTAAACAGTGTTTATATTCCAATTGAAGCCGAAACTTTGCAGATGAAGGAGGGCATCCACAAAGAATAGCTTTAGGGTAGGTTCCCTCATCTCCTTCAGTGGCAATTCAAGGGCATGCACACCTGCTCTACCATCTGCCAAAGTGTTTTTCTCTCCATTATCTCCATGTAACACCATGTACATAGCAGCAGAAGGATGGCCAGCTTCCAGGGCTAGCGCTGCTGAATTCTTCCTCCCTTGTTCCATGCTCTGTGGTGTTTCTTACACCTTTAGAAGGCATTTCCTGAGGAAGCCTCAGGAATCTGTACTCTGGTTTTGTAAAGCCCAAGAGCAAAATTCAGCTGTGTGAAGGACAGTGCTGTGAGCATGAGGTCAACTTTCAACAATTCCTCCCACAGAAATTCTCTTCCAGCAGGTTCCTGGTAGGCAAGCCTCTCAGAATTTGCACTCCATATGAGTCCGAAATTCACAAAGCCTATGTAGGTTGGAAACATGTCCATACAAAATATCCTGCACATTATAGCAATATTGACAGTGCTCTGCGTTTCACAATTCCTGGAGATCTGTTCTTCTGACATCAGCGAGTCTTCATTGCAAGAAACCTGCACCAGATGCAACAGTTTCTGAGGTCACTGCACAGGGGACCCTAACTTCCCACAAATCATGCTAAATTTCAGAGACACGGGGAAATAGACTGAGGTTGGAAAAGAGCAGAAGGTACAGATGAAGCCTCGATGTGTTCTGACAGATACAGACAAAAAGATTAAAAGGCAGACTACTCTGTGTTTCTGTTTGGAGTCAACAAGCTGGTATGTCAATGTTTCCAAGGCAAATCGGTGGTCCAAAGATCGTGTAGGATTAATGGCTTCTCTGCACCTGTTTCCGAAAAAAGGGACATGGATCTACAAATGCAAATACATCGGAAGGTTCTTCATCTTAGACGAATGTAAATCTTTTTTAAAGATGAAGAAAACAAAACATTTTTGGCAAAACCAAAAAAGGACAGCTTCTCCTTGCACCCACCCAACAGGCACCATTTGGGTCCATTTGTGGGTCCATTTTCTTTCTGCTTGAAATGGAGAACATTTGTCTGTGGCAGGAGGAGCAACACTCAAGCAGGCTTGTCTTTCGTGCTTCATGTTCATACTGATACCGTGCTGCTATTTTTCACTCTGCAATCTTCTTTTGTTTTCCCCCCAAAGCGATGTCATTTTTATTATGCTATTTATATTCTTTCTTAATAAAAGTTCTGTGGAAAAAAAAAAAAAAAAGCTGCTTGCCAGATCCTATTCTACATGTGCTTGAACACATGGGTGAAAGACATCAGAGAATTTGAAGTAATGTGCCCAGTGCTGTGATGATATTTCAGGGTGTAGAAGAAGTAGGAAATGTATTTGATTTGTTACATGCTGTTCTCCAGCCTTTTTTTTTTTTGGAGGGGGGAGGAGAAGGGGGGGATTACAGCTTTATTTCATTCAATTTGAACGTCACCTAAGTCCACCTATTCAGTATTCCTGCTGGGTGACCAGTCTCTGGAGACAGAGGAAACTCTGGGCAATACTTTATTTCCTTACTTATGGCCTTAATGATTGCCTACAGGCTTCTCACTATCTGTAATACGTTTGGACGTAAAAGCAAAAGTGCTCATTTCTTTCTCTTAAAGACTAATAAACGTGGCTCATTTAAGAGGTGATTGGAATATCATTTCTGATTGATTTTTACCCCATTATTATTACAGTAATGTTGGAGGCTGTTTGCATGAGCCTTGATTTATCACAGGTGTATGGGAACAGCTGAGTCAGGGCCTGAACCTCTGATTGATCACCTGAGGTGAGCCGTGAGTCAGCCAGAGGAGCACAGGTGAAGGCAATTCCTAGACCTGTTTAAGAGCTGGCCAACAGTGGGGAAGGTTTTCTTCTGGAGATCTGCTGTGCTGGTGTTCTGTGAGTGAGCCCAGGATAGGGGTAAGTCTTCTGTTTATTTTCTTTTGTTATCGTAGTCTGCTTTGCCTCACTCTCTTGTTTATTTTGTGATTATAGCATCCTAATGTTCTTTGGTTATACAACAGTCAAGGGTAGTCCCACAACTGTCAGTTATGGTGTTTGTGTGCTTAGAATTAGGCAGGTTCTGAGGTAAGAGCCTTCAAACCTGACCTACAGCAAGGTTAACAGATATCCTTCCATTGACTTCAGCCAGCTTTGGGTATGGTCCTTGATTCAAGTGGCGCTGAGTAGCAGTACATGTCTGAATTTCTGTTTGCTAGAGAGGGCAGCAGGCCATGAAAAGTGACTTTTTAGCTCTGTGGTCCTAGAAAAGACACTACTCCACAGCTGCCATGTCTTTGTGAGGGATATACCAGGTAGCTGCCTTCAGCTAGCACTTAGAGGTTTGCTTCATCCATGAATTTTGCTACCATGTGTTTCCTTGACAGAGTTACCAGTTAAATGTCTCTGCCAGCTTGTCTGGCTAGCTGACTTAAACCCATTTGCTTCTCAGAAAATAGAAGAGGGCACTAGCACTTCTGAATGTAGTTTTGGTTCTCTGCAAGCATACATATTCATAGGTTTTTCACTGCTACAAGTGTGGATTTTGTTTATTGTTATTATTGCTGTTTTTCTTTCTACTTAATCAAAAATAAAATGAGAGAAGATCATTGTCACCTGGACAGCATCACTGAGATTTGAAGTTCACTCCAGGTGGTAAGGGATATCAGTCTGCAGCAAGAGGCTGGGAGCATGACTAGCAGTGGTGCTCTCACAGCACAAACATCAGAAATAATAAAACTAATTTGAATTGTTGCTTATACATGGCTGTCTTCAGAGTTAGGTAAAGGTATTTTTAAAGCCACGTATTGAAACTTAAACTTAAATACTAGTATTTTTTGTGGTGAAAATCGGGCTTTCAAATAACTCAGTGTCTTCATGACATTACAGAGCCTGAGCCTAATCTTGCTCCTATTCATCCGATGGTGCAGTTGCTCTTCTATCGCTATCAATAAGATTATGATATAGATGAGGCACATAAGGGCCATCAGCCTATGTTATTTAATCAGCAGATGTTATTTAGGTCCGTGTTACTTAGGATGTGAATATGTCCTTGGATATTTAACTCTTGGTTCTTGAGAAAACAATGTACAAGGTCTTAAAATTGCTGTTTGGACAAGATCCTGAGCACTCTACTCTTGGTGTCTCTGCAGAAGCAGGCAGTTGGACTGGCTGAACCTCCCTTCCAACCTCAAGCCTGTGAACTGCATCATCGAAAATTGCTTCACAGAATAGAGCAGTTTCTTTCTTTAAGTAAAGCATTTAGGGAGCTGTTTTTATCTCCAAACGATGAACTACTGTGTGTTTGCAAATTGAATCTATTGGCAATTCAATGTATTTAGTTTTAGCTTTCCATTTGTTTCACTCTGGTGTTAAAACACCACCTGAGAAGATGTTCTCAAATGTCAATTCTTTAAGCATCTTGAAAAGCACAACCTGATTTTTCTAATCTCTTAAAATACACTGGTCTCTTCAAAAAGCCTTTTTGCTTTGTAAACATTTCAGTGCTAACCCATGACATGATATGTTGGTGTTATTAATCCATTAAGCGAGATCCAAGTAACCCTCTTGTATTGAAGTATTGCCACTTCTCCCCGGTACCCAGATTTGGCATTATAAACTTTTGGATGGACTTGTTAAAGCTTGATTTGATTTATAGACAAAAGCACTGAATGCAAGAGGAACTTGGTGTAGTTGTACGCAGACAAGTTTGGGGAAGATTTGGAGCTATGCTGGTGAAAAGCGTTTCTATCAACGATTAAATAAGGGAAAGAATGCAGAACTCACTCTTGTCTGCTGTATAGAGCAGCAGTGAGCTGGCCAGTGTTATCTGGTCAAAGAGCTCAATTTTACATCTGAATGAGTCGGAGCAACGTGGGAGGAAGTACTGTGGTAGAATTTGACTGAAGAGCTGTGGTATTGCAGAGCTGGTTTGTGTAGGAACACGAGGAGAGAGCGGAGGCAGATTTGGTGGGCTGAGGAGCAGATATATGGCATGAAGTCCAAATCTTTATACCATTATTTACAGTAACCTATGGTATGGAATCCAGGATAATCATCAGCTCTAGGCCAAGCTGTAGTACGTGTATATATGTTTGTCACAGACTGTTTTGGTAATAAAAACCTAAAACTTACTAGTAGATGCAAGTAAAATCCAGTTTAGCGTGGTTCCTGTGAAAGAGAAAGAACTTGTGCAGATGCTGACAGCACAAATTATACTTCTGCAACTTTAAAGCCAGCTGAATTTGAAAGAGTTCTGATTGCTCTAATACACTGTGCTTACTTGGTGCAATGTATTTTTAAAAAGCTACAGATGAAGCAGTGTTTCTGATGAATATATAAGCAATAGTACTAGCTGCATAATAAAGATGCAAGTGTTGTTCATACATTGTTTTTAAAAGCTGGTGTTAGCCCTGTCAGGCTGGATTTTGCCATTTGATTTCCTACATGGTTTCTTAGAAAACCAGTACTGTTTATACAACGACTATGATTGCTGCTAGGGGGAAAACAACACTAAAAAAACAACCCAAACCTCACTTCTCAGGAAGTGGATTCTTACACGATTTGTTAAACCCTCCCCTCTCTCCATGAAAAACTTCTCCATCTTGTTTTTAGCTCAGGGTAGCACAGAGTGCATTCTGTCAACTTCAAAACCTCAGGTAAGGCTCTACACCAACACTGACCGAACCAGACAGCTGTGCTGCTTTGCCACTGATCTCTGAATGAGACCACAAACTACTCTGTTACTTTGCCCTGGCAGCCAGAATTCAAGAGCAGATAGGGCTACTTTCATGAGACAGGAAACGTGATAAATACACGATTCTAATTCTTATTTAGAAATATCCTGCACAAGGTTCTGTTTCCAGAACAAAGTTTAAACAAGCAACAATGGAAGATTGCTAAAAAGACAGGTTCCCAGTGATCCTGGGTGTCACAATTCCTGCTGCTCTGCATCATTTTTGCAGCTCTCTGCTCTGAGCCCTTCTATTCCCATTGCAAGCAGATAATGTTGCTGTAAATGAAATGAGGGTCACACAGACCTCTCTGAGGTGTGGTTCAGGATTAAGCAGTCCCTCTTCCCACCTTCTTCTCTTACCGCGCTTCTCAATCACTTCATTCTCTGAATGGTAAACGAAGCTGTGATGCTGATCTGGCTTAATTATAACCTAACAATCAAGTAGGTGCCCTGGGTGAAGCATGGAGGTTAATAGGAGGACAGAGTGACCAGCCATGGTTGGACATACTCAGTGCTTAGGCTGGAATGATCACGTAGAAATGTTAGTCAAACCACACCCTAGACTTGTAATAAGGAAAATACTTGTTTGTCCATCAGTGTTAGCTCTGACCTGGATTTTGGGTGTCCATCATCTTGTGAATAGCTGTTTTTGCAAGACTGGATTGGCCCTTATATGACACCAGTGGTGAGCTTACTGTTTTAAATGCTCCTCTTTGTTTTTAGGCCTTATGTGATGGCAATCATTATTTCCTTTCCATGTGAAGCTGTCTTACCTGTCTGCTATGCAGCAGAAGCAGTGAATTCAGATCCAAGAAATTCAATAATCATGGAAGCATGCATTTTCTAGTCAACTCTACACCACAGTGTGGGTCTCTGGATTGCAAAGACTGGCATTTCTGTGGTTTTATTCCCCCCCTCCCCTTCACTGGAAACCACAGGAAAGAAACAGATTGCTGCAGGGTACATCCAATGAGTAAAGAAAAAGCTATGCCCCTAAATCCAAAGGTTTGTATTCAGGAAAGTGCAGTGGTTGAGGTTTCTGTTTGAAGAGGAGGCCAGGCAATGTCACTGAGATGCCTGAGATTCAAGCTTGCTCCAAATATGTTCTGATGATTTATTAATAGGAATAACGCAAGTAGGCTCAAATTGCCTTGCTTAAATTGGTGTGAGACTTCCACCAGCAACTACTACTGTGTTGAACCACTGTGAAATCCAGTTCTGAGCTCATTTTCAAAGTTCTAACTTGGTTCTAACTCAGTTTGGCTACCTTGACCTCTGATATCTCACATGACTCAGCACGCCTCTCCTGCAAAGTCCCACAGAATTTGGTAGTAATAGATGGAAAGAGTTCAAGTATGAATTTATTTACTGCAGACACTGAGGCCAGATTCTGTGACATATTTATGTTTAAACAGCAGCATTTTCATGACAGAGAGAAATAACCAGAACCTGTTATGTGAAATTGTTACAACTGAGTTTCAATCATGCTCCAGAAGTAGGGATGTGGTTGTGACTATAATACAGCTGAGATCTTTTAACTGAGTTTACTAACAAGTAGTTGTGTAGGCACGTATCTGTTATTTTTCCATGTAACTAAAGATATACATAATAAAAATAGTGTCCAGTGGATTGAAAAGATCATTTTGAATAGGAGTCACCAAAACAAAAATCTGAGTGTTTTTACAATGATGTTACTGGAATTTTCAAAAGTTTCACAGTAAAACAGATCTGTGATCCAGTCAACTTGACTTAAAAACATAAGGGGACAATGGGCTAGAAAGATATTTGGGCAAAGTCCTCTTCTCAATGAGATCTTTTTCACAAAATGTGATAGATCAAGAAATGGAGTTGCTCTCTGTTATCATTATCAGTTTTGCCAGAGAAAAGTGTAGCAGGAGTTGCTGGTTTCACCTTATTTGTCACATCCATCAGTATTGTGTTAACACTGCTATGTTCCCAGTTATGCTCCTCCTCTTTTGCAGAGTTTCTTCATTTGTTTTCCTTCTGTTTCATCCCACTTATATTAAAAAAAAATTACTTTTTTTGCTCCAATGAAAATGTTCTCTCACTTATAACATGCAAAGAATTTAATGGCCAGTTTTATAAAATTAAAATAGACTTTATGATGGTCATGGAAGAAAAATGTATGGTTTACTAGCATAGGAAATAAATCCAAGCTATTAAC